AGTTTTGCGTCGAAAATGGATCCGAAGCGTCAACTTAAAATAAAGACAGGTGTACTAAAAAGGTATGTTTCTTTTGCGGAGAATTTTTCACAAATGCGACGTATGTATAATAATAATACTCTGCCTTTTTTTGGTTGCACTAACTATAACTTGCGCGTTATGTTGAGGATCGTTATTAAATAATATTATTTGACTTACGCTTGAGCTTAATTTGTTTTTCAAACTTTGATAATCTTTCCTTCTTGTTTAACATTCGATTCCCAAGTAAGGGTGGCAAGCTATGCCACCCTGTTTAACTGCCTTAATTCCATGGTCAGCATCCATTGTTTTCTTATCAGCTGTGATCTTTATGGCCGTGATCTTGACGTCCCTTTCCTTGATCAATCGAAAGTTGTCTTTTAGTTTGTCGTTTGTTTATTATTGCGTGTAATTGCCAAAAGAAAAAAAAGAATATTTCATCAAATGTCGTGGGGCTGACATGAATTTCTTAATGATCCCATTTTCTATTAAGATGGTTGTGAGGTTTGTAACTATCAGCAGAGCTTTATAAGCGTGAATTTGAGTGAAAACCACCGCTTATAAGAACTAAAAGAAGACAATAGACCTTTGTCACGCGGTGAACGAGGCTAGCTGTGCATAAACAAAGCTTTTTAAATCTCCTGAGATAAAATGACTGCTGCGTGACAAAGGTCTATGGAGGATGTTCCATTTTTTATCCGCACCCGGTAAAGATGACTGAAATCCAAACCCTCGAATTTTTTTGGCACCTTTGAAAAATTTGTCCAAGAGTCCAAATTTGTCGACTTCTTTGAAGAAAAAATCTGAACCCTCCTGTTCGAAAACCCATCATCCTTTGGGGGGGATAAAAATAGAATGTTCCTAGTGCTTGTATATCTGTTATGGAACACTTCACCCTGACAGCAGGGGATTTCTTTCGCTTGCACAATTTTTTCCTACTTGAGAAAGAGTCTGCATAGATCGAGTAAGATCTTTGATGAGCATGTGCAGCATGTTGCTGGGATATAGTCTTGAACCAGGTCTAGTTGCTGTGCACTTGTTACAGCATGCTCTGTTGTGACCATTAGTTTATCAAGAAACGGATGCTCATTCTTGAATAAACCAGTTTGATGACAGAAAACAAGATGCCACCTCAAAGCCTTGACACCATTTAGACAGAGCCTTTTTTCCCCTCACCCAAGAAGACAAAAGGAAGATCTGCTTGCAGGGCAGGGAACACTTCATCTGCCAGTGAGCTTTATTTGAGACCTCCCATTGTTTTTGATAACTTTCGAACTATGAATATTATAGTTATCCTCTTCATACCCAACATTCTGTTATTCCATTTAATTGATCACCTCAGACATGTACACATAGTACAATGTTCTGTCAAATCTCTTTAATTATACTGAAACCTAGACAGAAAACCAAAGGGACAGTAGCCTTTGATTCAGGCGTACTTGATACATGTAGGTGAGTGGCCTGTATGTTTCAGCCACAACCTGTGATTTGGAAAGCAGAGGAAGATTGGGGAGAGTGGAACAAATAAAGCAGCATGCAAAGAAAGCTGTGTCTGATAGCCTGGGCAGGGTTGTCACTAAGATTTCAAGTTGCCGGGTAAATACAACAAGTAGGCGGGGAATCGAACAGCTAGGAATTTCTTTTGGTTCTATTTTTCTTTTATTTTCCTTTGAAAGTAGCCGGGGAAGACGTTCGTAGTAGCCGGGGGAAATCCCCGGCCCCCGCCTCTTAATGACAGCCCTGCTGAGGCTAGTGGATTTTACTATCGGGCTAGTGAATTCTGTTCTTAACTTGTCCGCCTGGCAACTGAAATTTTTTAAGGAATTCAAATCATATAAGAACTGTTATCAACCCTGCTCATCATCAGGCTAGTTAAAATGACTTTTGTGCTAGTACGTGCTAACTACAGCTTGCCCGAATGGTAAGCTGTAAACTGACTTTCTTTGCACCCTGATAAAGTGTAGGGAAGGTAAGGGGTTGAAGAAGATATGCCATTTTCTTACTTGCTTTCTTTGCTTCTGTCTTTCCCAAGACACAACTGCAGTGCTTGTGCATCCCTAGAAAACTAGCAGTAACCAATGGTTAGGAAGTGCGGGCAAACACACACTGTTACCTTAGAGATGTGATTGATGAGAACCGGTTTCTAATTTGCAGATCAAGCAAGGAAAAGGTGATGTATGAAAAGGAAGTTGTAGATCAAACAGCAAAAGTTGAGAAGATGAAAGAAGAGAAAAAGGATGAGCACGACATTAAGAAACAGGTTTGTTGTGTGACAACATTAGAATTATTGTGCGCCACAGTGAAGAAACTTCGTATTTATGCACATAAAAACTCTTATTTTCTATCCTGTGTTAATTAATAATATTTCTTTATGTGGAGTTTCTGTCAATATTTGCTTGTGATGCTATGTAGTTGATTAATCTAAGAATACATTAATAACTTTTNAAAAGGAAGTTGTAGATCAAACAGCAAAAGTTGAGAAGATGAAAGAAGAGAAAAAGGATGAGCACGACATTAAGAAACAGGTTTGTTGTGTGACAACATTAGAATTATTGTGCGCCACAGTGAAGAAACTTCGTATTTATGCACATAAAAACTCTTATTTTCTATCCTGTGTTAATTAATAATATTTCTTTATGTGGAGTTTCTGTCAATATTTGCTTGTGATGCTATGTAGTTGATTAATCTAAGAATACATTAATAACTTTTTATTTATAAAATCTATGAGTTCTTAAAGGCATTATTTTCCAAGAACAATGTTCCTACAGTTCTTTAGTCTAAGACTAATTGTGGCTTCAATTAAATTACAGATAGAAGTCCTTGAAGAGTCCAAAGTTATGATTCCAGATTGCAAAAGGAGAATTAAGACTGCCTATTTAGACCTGCAGGAACTTGTGGTAATTGATAGTGATTCATCCAATGAACATTTTGAAACTTATGCTATATAGCTTTTACCACACTCTATGTGTAGTTCATGAAATTATTAATTCATGATTAGTATCAATTGTTAGTGGTTAAGACATAAAGAGGAAAATATAAGTCCGCCGAGAGTGTGTTCTATGCTAAAAATCTAAAAATCATTGTCTTCTAGGTCCTGGAAAACTACTAAAAATTTCCTTTTCTCTTCACTTTCCTGGATTTTTATAGATATTTTATTGCTGGATGAGTATGTGGTGTCATATAGGTTGCATTGTAGAATAGGAACTGTTAATTTCTTGAGGAAAACTACTGTTACATTTACGTAGTAAAAGCCTTTTACAAAATAGTGAAAGGTTTGTGTTCAGTGTTCTGTTTTTCTTTTCCATATTGGACCTTGAAAAACTTCTGGTATTTCATTCATTCTCCCTCACTGAGAAACTCTGAGCAATATTGAGTTGAATTTGTTGCAACATGCAGTGTGACAGTCAAGAAATGGCAAGTTCATTTAGGTAGAAATTGATGAGTGAAAAGCCACAAACCACTAACACAATTGATTATTTTTTCTTTCTTGACTTTAGACTAAAACAGAGAATGATCTAGGTGATACAGAAGAACACAAAACTGCCAAGCAACTTTTGGAAGAAACCAAGCTAGAAGATTAACTACTTGGCAAGAAAATTGAACTAATATATGCCATCCCTTCTTTTTACAGTGTGAAAATATTAAAAAGAGAGTACAGTGCCCAGTTTATCACAGTCAATATATAAGGGTAAATGTATAGTGTTCACTTCAGTGATGGTGGACACATTCTAGAGTGTTAAAAATACTTGATCAAACACAGAAAAAGGTTGGCGTTTTAACTTTAACTTATAATGGAAAAATACAGTCAACTCTCTTTCTAAGATGGACACTGTCGGGTCGATCTGCACTTTTTGTTTTCTAGAGATAGCCTGCATAAAATGCCTTTTTTTCTCACTTTTTAACCGAGCGAGGAACGCCAGACAGGTGTGACAGGGTAAGGCATAGAAAAAAATGTTTTTCCCCCATCGTGCATCTGGCACTCCTTGCTCACTTCATAGTTGCCTTTGCTTGTCTGTAATACATAAACAAATAATGCCTGTTCTGCAGGCTAGAACTTTCATTGAAACATTTATGTTCAAACCTGTGTTTTGGAATAACCTGTAGGTGCCTTGATGTTCTTTCTATACATGTATTGTAGTTCGATGATGTTCTTATTTCAATGACAATAAAGGCCACACTAACAGAGGGTGGTCTTCCTGTGGTGGCAGTCATTGTAGACTGTTTAATCGGCTCATAAAATGAGCCCGGGTTTGGTAAATCTGCCTTGTTGACTTCATACCTTTCAACAAGTAAGATAAAGGACTGGAGAATGGCAGGGACCAACTGAACTTGTAGGTATCGTAGGGAATCGGCCAAGATTTCATTATTATACATTGTGCTCACTATCAGTGCATCCTATGGATCATTAATTTAGTTATCTGCTAACAGATAACTGACTAATCTGTAGGTTACATGGGCAATGCATGATTTCCATGAGAAAATAATTTATTGTTTTCTTCAAAACGATGCATAATAAAACAATAATAATGTTACATGCAGATACTGTTTAAAATGTGATCCAGAATAATCCAGGGTTCGTACAGGTCATGGAAAACCTGGAAAGTCATGGAGTAAAGGGTTTCATTTTCTAGGAATGGACAGTCATGGAATTTAATTGTCGCTTCTTGGAAGTCACGGAAAATTAAAGATTTGTTTGATAGATCAGTTACTGCAGATGGACAAGGCAAAGACAGTGTAAGATACAATAGTGTAGAGAGGAGTAATTAAACAGAGCAAACGGCGCGTATTTTGATGGACACCAGAGTTTGTATCTGTTGAACTGTTTAAGGTCGAAAAATACCCTAAAACAAGGACCTTGATTATTCTGGATATCACAAAAACCTCATCCGATAATAATTGTCTATTATTCTTCATCAGAGATAACGGGGTTTACCCAGCCAATTGATAATCAAGTAAGACTGGAAAAATCTTTTTATAAGAATTCCATTTGTTTTTCATCTGCATGCATGAAGTAATATTAACGTTTGAGTGTTTTTGACTGTGGACCACTTTTATTAATATTTTAGAGCACTCATTTTGTGGTATGATTTACAACAACAACAGAAAATAATGTATCTTTAGAAAAAAGAGTTGTTGACGGATAACTGCTGCAAACAAGTCCACTAAAATGCTAATACTCTTATTTGTCATATTGTTCTGTGATTGATCAAACATTTTCCATAAATGCACCGAGACAACCAAGAGAAGTTTGAAGCTAATCACTCTTATTTAAGTAAGATCAATCATAAAACGTTCTAGTTTGTACTCTTCTGTAGCTGTTAAATTATTATATTATTATTTGGAACCTTTGGAAATAAACTATGAAATATAAAGCATTTCTGTCTCCTATTTGCCTAGTGTCTTCAGAACTGTGCTTCTGTGGCACCCAGTGGCTCATCGAAACTTGCCTTTTCCATACCGTGACAAGGTTTTTGCATAACAGCATTATAAGGGTAGGCTCAATAGAATGGAGAAGATAATACCTAATGTTGCCATGGTAGCAACATTTCAGGTCTCAACAAACTGTGGCCTGCAAATATGGCAAAAAATTGGCATGTATGACTTTACAGTGCATGATGGCACTTAGAACAAAACGGTAGCCCATACTTTTCTTCCATTGCTTGAGGATGCAAATAGCCATCTCTATCAAGAAAGATTGTTCAGATCCAGAAATTGTGCTACCATGGTAATGTGATGTCACACTCCTCTCTATAACTAGCCGCTGTTCAGGAAGTGACCCCTAGCCTGCGTAGCTGGCGGTATTGTGTGGGTGCGAGATTAAAGTTTTGATGGCGGAGCCGTGTTCCAAAAAAAGGGAGTAGGGACGAGGCCGGCTCCGCCGCCAAATCTCACTCGACTACTACACAATACCGCCAGCTACGCAGGCTAAGTCACCCCATGCTCCTTCCGTGGAAAGCAAAAGTCTCTTCCCAGAGAAGAACATGACTGGACCCAAGGGAGCATTAAAAATCGAGCCCATTATCAGGGCTGTCACTAAGATTTCAAATTGTGGGGTAAATACAAATTCTAGGATGGGAACCAAAAATCAAACAGCTGGGGATTTCTTTTGGTTCTTTTTCTCTAAGTCTCTTCCATTTTCCATGAAAGTAGCCAGGGGTGATGGACATAGTAGCCGGCGGAACTCTCTGTCCCCAAGCTCTTAATGACAACCCTGATTATACCAATGCTGTGCAAGATGTCATAGGTTCAGAGTGTCTGGGATTGCTTTCATTGAAAAAAGTGACATTCAAGTAAATCATTCAATAAGGCCTGACCAAAATTTTCCACTGTCTTATGAAATTAATCTTGAGGTTGGGCATGAAGAATATTAAAAGATTAATATTTATGTAGCTGAAGACTTGCATGGTAGTTGAAGAGAGAATTTAATATTCTTTAAAAGACAACATACCGTAATANCCCCCCCCCCCCCCCCCACGTCGTAACACCAAAAACCCTCTGTTAAATCGCCCCTCCGAATATAAGCCCCTCGAGGCTTGTACTCGGAAATTGCCCTCAATAAATACAAAATAAAACAAAGCAAAAATGGTACAGTAACATAAATTTTTGTATTTGCCAAAGAACTAATTACGTGTGCGAACTGATTGCAATCAGAAAGTGTCACAGTTTATTGCTGTTTGAGTAGTTCCTCTTCACTCTTGGCTTTGATTTCCTCGGTCCATATAGACAAAGTACTTGCATAGCTACGTTTTAGAAACGTCTATGTCCTCAAGGCGAGTTTCAGTAAAAACTTTCTGCAAATTACTGACACTGAAATTTTCTTCCAACTATAAGCTAGCTCAATCGATTTTGAGACGCAAATTTCTCTCCAAGTATAAGCCTAGCCAATTTTGAAATGCAAACTTCCCTCCGTATATAAGCCCCTCCAAAAATAAGCCCCTCAAAGAGGGCCGGGGCTTATTTTCGGAATTTTATGGTAACGTGTGTCCCAACACTTAAATGGTTTGTTCTTCTAAAACAGGCCTCGTTGAACATAATTTTGCCCTTTCTAAAAAAAATACTGGCCTAGGATGGGAAAGGGGGCTTTCTGGATACAACTCTGGGGTACAACAGATTATATATTTAAAAAAATGAGACTTGTTCTTCATTATTTTATTACCACAAATAAGAAACCATATGTGCTTATTTTAAATAGTATACTTGGACATGAACTATGCATGTGTACACTCATGGAAAAAAAGCTAAAAACAGTTCCCTAGTCGTAAACACTAGCATTATTATTACTATTACACTGCCTTTACTGTTTTCTCAATTAAAAAGGAAGATAAAGGATAAGGTTTTCGGGGGGAAGCTAACTTACTGAAAGTTATTTTTATTTTGTACAAAACAAACCTGCTATATAATTTACAAGTCACCCATGAAATAAGTAGCAACAGTATCAGATTAAATTTAAATAATACAACAACCAAATTTACATCGTCACAACTTCATAAATACTCTTTCACATGATATTATTTACACACTGATATTTGGACGTGCAAATTTCTTACGCTTTGTGCAACTTATAAATTTTTTTGACTTCTTTAACTACCCTAGACAAAGTATTAGAAGTGAGGCTAATTGAGTTACTGTGAAGAACCTAAAAGGAATTGCCTTGCTTCTTCCCACTTTGATGTCGGAAATCTGTTAACAAGAGCAAACCGCTGGGAGACCTCTCCATCTGCAGCAGAAAACGAACATGTCACTGAAAACTTAGCCTGAGAAAACAGCCGACATTAGGTGACGTTACCACTGGTTTCCCCGCCAAATGACGTCTGAGAAACGAGCGCAAAAATTCCATACTGATGACGCGTCACTACCCAGATCTGGGTAATGCTTCTGATTGGTTGAATCAAATTTCCCACGCGGCACGACTAATCAGAAGACGCGTCATCAGTATGGAATTTCTGCGCTCGCTTCTCAGACGTCATTTGGTGGGGAATCCAGTGGTAACGTCACCAAACGTCGGCTGTTTTCTCAGGCTACTGAAAACTTAGTTTGCACTGCTTTAAACTTCACTACTATTCTGTCTCGTTCAACTTGTCAAATGTTGGAGAGTTTTTCTGGAGTTTAATTCTAAAGGACTGTTTGCAAGTGAAGAAAAAGAAAAAAGAAAATCGTCTTCTTGCATCCACGTCCTTCCCAAAACGTAAAATTAAGGATTTTCACGTCGCAGACGTGCAACGATGACAGAGAAATGTGAAAAAGTGTGATGAACGTACAAAGTTGTTGTTTTGCTTATCTAAACCACTTCCTTTTTTGACGTGATCATTGCCGTCACCGTCGTCGTTGCTTGGCTCCAAACTTAGTATCAAGTGTTACTGGTTTAAGTGTCTGTGAGTAGCGACTGACTAAAGGCCTTGAAAGCGTCTTCGTGTAAGAAAATGTTTGATGCAAACAACCAAAAACAAACCTGATCGCCTTCCACTCTGAGAGGGCAACAATTGATCATGCTGTAGATCCAACATTTGTTCCTAGAAACCGAAAGGCTTTTAGTTACAAACAGCAGTGTTAAGGGTTCCAAAAGGCTCTTTGCTACAAGGAG